CACAGTGTACACACACAGTGTACACACACAGTGTACACACACACAGTGTACACACACAGCGTACACACACAGTGTACACACACAGTGTACACACACACTGTACACACACAGTGTACACACACACAGTGTACACACACACAGTGTACACACACACAGGTAAGGACGTGAACGTTGACGTAGCAGAGAGACTAGTGAGCTAGGTCCTGTGGTGTAGCCTCCTGTACACACACAGTGTACACACAGTGTACACACACACAGTGTACACACAGTGTACACACACACAGTGTACACACACAGTGTACACACAGTGTACACACACAGTGTACACACACAGTGTACACACACAGTGTACACACACACAGGTAAGGACGTGAACGTTGACGTAGCAGAGAGACTAGTGAGCTAGGTCCTGTGGTGTAGCCTCCTGTACACACACAGTGTACACACAGTGTACACACACAGTGTACACACAGTGTACACACACACACAGTGTACACACACACACAGGTAAGGACGTGAACGTTGACGTAGCAGAGAGACTAGTGAGCTAGGTCCTGTGGTGTAGCCTCCTGTACACACACAGTGTACACACACACAGTGTACACACACACAGTGTACACACACACAGTGTACACACACACACACAGTGTACACACACAGTGTACACACACACAGTGTACACACACACAGTGTACACACACAGTGTACACACACACAGTGTGCACACACACAGGTAAGGACGTGAACTCTGACGTAGCAGAGAGACTAGTGAGCTAGGTCCTGTGGTGTAGCCTCCTGTACACACACAGTGTACACACACACAGTGTACACACACACAGTGTACACACACAGTGTACACACACACAGTGTACACACACAGTGTACACACACACAGTGTATACACACACAGTGTACACACACAGTGTACACACACACAGGTAAGGACGTGAACGTTGACGTAGCAGAGAGACTAGTGAGCTAGGTCCTGTGGTGTAGCCTCCTGTACACACACAGTGTACACACACACAGTGTACACACACACAGTGTACACACACAGTGTACACACACACAGTGTACACACACACATAGTGTACACACACAGTGTACACACACAGTGTACACACACAGTGTACACACACAGTGTACACACACAGTGTACACACACACAGTGTACACACACACAGGTAAGGACGTGAACGTTGCCGTAGCAGAGAGACTAGTGAGCTAGGTCCTGTGGTGTAGCCTCCTGTACACACACAGTGTACACACAGTGTACACACACAGTGTACACACACAGTGTACACACAGTGTACACACTCACAGTGTACACACACACAGGTAAGGACGTGAACGTTGACGTAGCAGAGAGACTAGTGAGCTAGGTCCTGTGGTGTAGCCTCCTGTACACACACAGTGTACACACAGTGTACACACACAGTGTACACACACAGTGTACACACACAGTGTACACACACACAGGTAAGGACGTGAACGTTGACGTAGCAGAGAGACTAGTGAGCTAGGTCCTGTGGTGTAGCCTCCTGTACACACAGTGTACACACACAGTGTACACACACAGTGTACACACAGTGTACACACACAGTGTACACACACACAGTGTACACACACACAGGTAAGGACGTGAACGTTGACGTAGCAGAGAGACTAGTGAGCTAGGTCCTGTGGTGTAGCCTCCTGTACACACACAGTGTACACACACACAGTGTACACACACACACAGTGTACACACACAGTGTACACACACACAGTGTACACACACACACAGTGTACACACACAGTGTACACACACACAGTGTACACACACACACAGTGTACACACACAGTGTACACACAGTGTACACACACACACAGTGTACACACACACAGTGTACACACACACAGTGTACACACACACAGGTAAGGACGTGAACGTTGACGTAGCAGAGAGACTAGTGAGCTAGGTCCTGTGGTGTAGCCTCCTGCACACACACAGTGTACACACAGTGTACACACAGTGTACACACACAGTGTACACACACAGTGTACACACACAGTGTACACACACAGTGTACACACACACAGGTAAGGACGTGAACGTTGACGTAGCAGAGAGACTAGTGAGCTAGGTCCTGTGGTGTAGCCTCCTGTACACACACAGTGTACACACAGTGTACACACACACAGTGTACACACACACAGTGTACACACACAGTGTACACACACAGTGTACACACACAGTGTACACACACACAGTGTACACACACAGTGTACACACACACACAGGTAAGGACGTGAACGTTGACGTAGCAGAGAGAATAGTGAGCTAGGTCCTGTGGTGTAGCCTCCTGTACACACAGTACACACAGTGTACACACACAGTGTACACACACAGTGTACACACACACAGTGTACACACACAGTGTACACACACACACAGGTAAGGACGTGAATGTTGACGTAGCAGAGAGACTAGTGAGCTAGGTTCTGTGGTGTAGCCTCCTGTACACACAGTGTACACACACAGTGTACACACACAGTGTACACACACAGTGTACACACACACAGTGTACACACACAGTGTACACACACACAGGTAAGGACGTGAACGTTGACGTAGCAGAGAGACTAGTGAGCTAGGTCCTGTGGTGTAGCCTCCTGTACACACACAGTGTACACACACAGTGTACACACACACAGTGTACACACACAGTGTACACACACACAGTGTACACACAGTGTACACACACACAGGTAAGGACGTGAACGTTGACGTAGCAGAGAGACTAGTGAGCTAGGTCCTGTGGTGTAGCCTCCTGTACACACAGTGTACACACACACAGTGTACACACACAGTGTACACACACACAGTGTACACACACACAGTGTACACACACAGTGTACACACACAGTGTACACACACACAGTGTACACACACAGTGTACACACACACACACAGTGTACACACACAGTGTATACACACAGTGTACACACACACAGGTAAGGACGTGAACGTTGACGTAGCAGAGAGACTAGTGAGCTAGGTCCTGTGGTGTAGCCTCCTGTACACACACACAGCGTACACACACAGTGTACACACACAGTGTACACACACACAGTGTACACACACAGGGTACACACACAGTGTACACACACAGTGTACACACACACAGGTAAGGACGTGAACGTTGACGTAGCAGAGAGACTAGTGAGCTAGGTCCTGTGGTGTAGCCTCCTGTACACACACAGTGTACACACACAGTGTACACACACACAGTGTACACACACACAGTGTACACACACACACACAGTGTGCACACACACAGTGTGCACACACACAGTGTGCACACACACAGTGTACACACACAGTGTACACACACACAGTGTACACACACAGTGTACACACACAGTGTACACACACACAGGTAAGGACGTGAACGTTGACATAGCAGAGAGACTAGTGAGCTAGGTCCTGTGGTGTAGCCTCCTGTACACACACAGTGTACACACACAGTGTACACACACAGTGTACACACACACACAGTGTACATACACACAGTGTACACACACACAGTGTACACACACAGTGTACACACCGTGTACACACACACAGGTAAGGACGTGAACGTTGACGTAGCAGAGAGACTAGTGAGCTAGGTCCTGTGGTGTAGCCTCCTGTACACACAGTGTACACACACAGTGTACACACACAGTGTACACACACAGTGTACACACACAGTGTACACACACACAGTGTACACACACACAGTGTACACACACAGTGTACACACACACAGTGTACACACAGTGTACACACACAGTGTACACACAGTGTACACACACAGTGTACACACACAGTGTACACACAGTGTACACACACAGTGTACACACAGTGTACACACACACACAGTGTACACACACACACAGTGTACACACACAGTGTACACACACAGTGTACACACACACAGTGTACACACACACAGTGTACACACATAGTGTACACACACAGTGTACACAAACACAGGTAAGGACGTGAACGTTGACGTAGCAGAGAGACTAGTGAGCTAGGTCCTGTGGTGTAGCCTCCTGTACACACAGTGTACACACACAGTGTACACACACAGTGTACACACACAGTGTACACACACACAGTGTACACACACAGTGTACACACACAGTGTACACACACACAGTGTACACACACAGTGTACACACACAGTGTACACACACACAGGTAAGGACGTGAACGTTGACGTAGCAGAGAGACTAGTGAGCTAGGTCCTGTGGTGTAGCCTCCTGTACACACACACACAGTGTACACACACACAGTGTACACACACAGTGTACACAGTGTACACACAGTGTACACACACACAGTGTACACACACACAGTGTACACAAACAGTGTACACACACACAGGTAAGGACGTGAACGTTGACGTAGCAGAGAGACTAGTGAGCTAGGTCCTGTGGTGTAGCCTCCTGTACACACACAGTGTACACACACAGTGTACACACACACACACACAGTGTACACATACAGTGTACACACACACAGTGTACACACACAGTACACACACACAGTGTACACACACACAGTGTACACACACACAGTGTACACACACAGTGTACACACAGTGTACACACACACAGTGTACACACACACAGTGTACACACACACAGGTAAGGACGTGAACGTTGACGTAGCAGAGAGCCTAGTGAGCTAGGTCCTGTGGTGTAGCCTCCTGTACACACAGTGTACACACACAGTGTACACACACAGTGTACACACACACAGTGTACACACACACAGGTAAGGACGTGAACGTTGACGTAGCAGAGAGACTAGTGAGCTAGGTCCTGTGGTGTAGCCTCCTGTACACACACAGTGTACACACACACAGTGTACACACACACAGGTACACACACACAGTGTACACACACACAGTGTACACACACAGTGTACACACAGTGTACACACATACAGTGTACACACACACAATGTACACACACAGTGTACACACACAGTGTACACACACAGTGTACACACACACAGGTAAGGACGTGAACGTTGACGTAGCAGAGAGACTAGTGAGCTAGGTCCTGTGGTGTAGCCTCCTGTACACACACAGTGTACACACAGTGTACACACACAGTGTACACACACACAGTGTACACACACAGTGTACACACACACAGTGTACACACACACAGTGTACACACACAGTGTACACACACACAGGTAAGGACGTGAACGTTGACGTAGCAGAGAGACTAGTGAGCTAGGTCCTGTGGTGTAGCCTCCTGTACACACAGTGTACACACACACACACAGTGTACACACACAGTGTACACACACAGTGTACACACACACACAGTGTACACACACACACAGTGTACACACACAGTGTACACACACACAGTGTACACACACACAGTGTACACACACACAGTGTACACACATAGTGTACACACACAGTGTACACACACACAGGTAAGGACGTGAACGTTGACGTAGCAGAGAGACTAGTGAGCTAGGTCCTGTGGTGTAGCCTCCTGTACACACACAGTGTACAGACACACACAGTGTACACACACAGTGTACACACACAGTGTACACACACAGTGTACACACACACAGTGTACACACACACAGGTAAGGACGTGAACGTTGACGTAGCAGAGAGACTAGTGAGCTAGGTCCTGTGGTGTAGCCTCCTGTACACACACAGTGTACACACACAGTGTACACACACAGTGTACACACACACAGTGTACACACACACAGTGTACACACACACAGGTAAGGACGTGAACGTTGACGTAGCAGAGAAATTAGTGAGCTAGGTCCTGTGGTGTAGCCTCCTGTACACACACAGTGTACACACACACAGTGTACACACATAGTGTACACACACACAGGTAAGGACGTGAACGTTGACGTAGCAGAGAGACTAGTGAGCTAGGTCCTGTGGTGTACCCTCCTGTACACACACAGTGTACACACACACAGTGTACACACACACAGTGTACACACACACAGTGTACACACACAGTGTACACACACAGTGTACACACACACAGGTAAGGACGTGAACGTTGACGTAGCAGAGAGACTAGTGAGCTAGGTCCTGTGGTGTAGCCTCCTGTACACACACAGTGTACACACACAGTGTACACACACAGTGTACACACACACAGTGTACACACACACAGTGTACACACACAGTGTACACACACAGTGTACAAACACACAGGTAAGGACGTGAACGTTGACGTAGCAGAGAAACTAGTGAGCTAGGTCCTGTGGTGTAGCCTCCTGTACACACACACACAGTGTACACACACACAGTGTACACACACACAGTGTACACACACAGTGTACACACACACAGGTAAGGACGTGAAAGTTGATGTAGCAGAGAGACTAGTGAGCTAGGTCCTGTGGTGTAGCCTCCTGTACACACACACACAGTGTACACACACACAGTGTACACACACACAGTGTACACACACAGTGTACACACACACACAGTGTACACACACACAGTGTACACACACACAGTGTACACACACACAGGTAAGGACGTGAACGTTGACGTAGCAGAGAGACTAGTGAGCTAGGTCCTGTGGTGTAGCCTCCTGTACACACACACAGTGTACACACACACAGTGTACACACACACAGTGTACACACACAGTGTACACACACACAGTGTACACACACAGTGTACACACACACAGTGTACACACACACAGTGTACACACACACAGTGTACACACAGTGTACACACACACAGTGTACACACACACAGGTAAGGACGTGAACGTTGACGTAGCAGAGAGACTAGTGAGCTAGGTCCTGTGGTGTAGCCTCCTGTACACACAGTGTACACACAGTGTACACACACAGTGTACACACACAGTGTACACACAGTGTACACACACACAGTGTACACACACAGATAAGGACGTGAACGTTGACGTAGCAGAGAGACTAGTGAGCTAGGTCCTGTGGTGTAGCCTCCTGTACACACAGTGTACACACACACAGTGTTCACACACACAGTGTACACACACAGTGTACACACACACAGGTAAGGACGTGAACGTTGACGTAGCAGAGAGACTAGTGAGCTAGGTCCTGTGGTGTAGCCTCCTGTACACACAGTGTACACACAGTGTACACACACACAGTGTACACACACACACAGTGTACACACACACAGGTAAGGACGTGAACGTTGACGTAGCAGAGAGACTAGTGAGCTAGGTCCTGTGGTGTAACCTCCTGTACACACACAGTGTACACACACAGTGTACACACACACAGTGTACACACACAGTGTGCACACACACAGTGTGCACACACACAGTGTACACACACACAGTGTACACACACAGTGTACACACACACAGTGTACACACACACAGTGTACACACACACAGGTAAGGACGTGAACGTTGACGTAGCAGAGAGACTAGTGAGCTAGGTCCTGTGGTGTAGCCTCCTGTACACACACAGTGTACACACAGTGTACACACACAGTGTACACACACACATTGTACACACACACAGTGTACACACACAGTGTACACACACACAGTGTACACACACAGTGTACACACACACAGTGTACACACAGTGTACACACACACAGGTAAGGACGTGAACGTTGACGTAGCAGAGAGACTAGTGAGCTAGTTCCTGTGGTGTAGCCTCCTGTACACACACAGTGTACACACAGTGTACACACACAGTGTACACACACACAGTGTACACACACAGTGTACACACACACAGTGTACACACACACAGTGTACACACACACAGTGTACACACACAGTGTACACACACAGTGTACACACACAGTGTACACACACAGTGCACACACACACAGGTAAGGACGTGAACGTTGACGTAGAAGAGAGACTAGTGATCTAGGTCCTGTGGTGTAGCCTCCTGTACACACACAGTGTACACACACAGTGTACACACACAGTGTACACACACAGTGTACACACACACACAGTGTACACACACAGTGTACACACACACAGTGTACACACACAGTGTACACACACAGTGTACACACACACACACACAGTGTACACACAGAGATACACACACACACACAGAGATACAACAACAACAACAACAACCGCCATTCGCCACTAAGTGGCGGTGATGTCACCACGACGCTTGTGCCAGGCTATGTGCACCCTGAGGCCACGTGAAGTGTCGAACGCCCACTGGCAGGAGGTCACTGGGCAGACCCAGGTGCCACGGGTCGACTGACTGAGATGACTGAGATGACTGGCTGATGCACCACCTGTGCCCCCTACTGTGCCAACCTGCTGTGCTTTAGCCACCCGGCGCTCCGCTCGTTGTTGTGAGCGTCGCTCCTCCGCCCTCCGTTGTTGTTGGAGGGCGACTGCCTCCAACTGCCCAGTAGCGTCCTTCACGAGCCTCCTCCACAGAGGCCGATCTTGACACCGCTAGTACCAGTCATCGGCAAGTCCACTCAGCTCCACGTCCTCCTGTACCACATCACTCCATCTCTTCTCTAGCCCGTGCCGCGCCCGCTTAGCCCCCTCAATCCGGCCAAACAAAAGCTGTTTCGGCATGCGGTGGCTGGGCATGCGGGCTACATGACCCAGCCAACGCAGCCTTGCCTGCCGGAGGAGCTCACCGATGGGACTTTGTCCAGATCTTTCAAGGATTTGGGAGCTCCTCACACAATCCAGCCTGGTTAAACCCAGGATGGATCATAGGCAGGCCAGCCTAAATGTTTCTAACCGGCGAAGATGTTCCATTAGAGGAGTCCACGTTTCGCAAGCGTAGAGAAGGGAGGGAATGACCGTGGCCGAGAAGACCTGAAGCTTAGTGCGGAGCGACAGACCAGGTAGCTTCCACACAGCGTTACGCAACCGATGAAAAGATATTGCCGCTCGACTGATTCGGAGTGAGACCTCTGCTGTTAAACTGGAGCCGGTCATAAGCACACTGCCCAGGTATGGGAAACTCTCCACTCTCTCCACAACTGCCCCATCACCGATTGGGAGTTGTGGGGGTGGAGTGTCCGATGGTACAAAATACCCAGGCAGGTGCTTAGTTTTGGTGGTGCTGATGGTAAGGCCCCACCTCTTAGTGGCACGCTCCAGTCTCAGCAGCAGCGTCTCCAACTCCTCCTCTGACTGAGCAGCTATTACCAAATCATCAGCATACATAACGTGGTTGAGCAATAGGGAGCCATCCCTTGACCGCACCCGGGCATCGATTAGCCTCCCATTATATCTGTACCATATGGAGATTCCCCCGGTACAGCTATTGAAGGCTTCACGAACTACGTTGTCGAAAAATATGTTAAATAATGTGGGAGCCAGAGGACATCCCTGTCGCACCCGAAGGTGTACAGGGAATGGCTCTGACTCCCGGCCACGTAGTTTTACCCAGGCCCGCTCACCATCTTGAAGGTCCTTAATGATTGTGAGCAGAGGGTCAGGTACTCCAAAAGCACGAAGAACAACCCAGAGCCCAGGCTTACTGATGGTATCATAGGCCGTGACCAGGTCAATAAAGCAGAGATGTAGGTCTTGCTGGAATTCCCTGCTGTAGCAGACGGACAAAAAATATGGCATCTGTGTAGGACCGCCCTTTCCTGAAACCGTATTGGGGCTCCGCAAGCCTCTCCTCAGCGTGCCTGGCAAGGCGATGTTGAATAATCCTTGCCAGGACCTTTCCCGGCACACTGAGGAGTGAGATGCCCCTGTAGTTGTTACAGTCTGTGCGATCCCCCTTCTTAAAGAGGGGGACCACCAGGGCATCATTCAAATCCTGCGGAACCCATCCAGTGGTCCAGACTGTTGTTATGATGTCATATAGGGCAGTCTGTGCACAAACGCCACCCTCCATCAGCATTTCGCTTGGGAGATCATCTCTGCCCAGTGCCTTTCCTGGTCTCAGACTCCGGATCGCCTTCAGTACTTCCTCAACAGATGGCACTTCAGCCAGCCACTCACAGGGGGTGACTTCTTCCAATAATTGAGGCACCGCAGCCTCAGCAGGGTCATCCCCACTTTGTGCAACGATGTTTTCCTAGCTGAGGGATTTCGACTCCCCCAGGACCTCACAGAAATGCTCAGCAAATCTGCAAACCTGTTCCTGGGGGTCGGAGATTGGATCACCGTTTTTTCCCCTAATGATGGTAGTAGGTGTGGTGCTGCAGGTTACTTTTTTGATGGAGTTAATAGAGATTTGTGATCGCGGGCCACTGAGGCAGACTCCATCTCCTCAGCAACCCGCGACCACCACCCATCCTTGCAGCACCTCACGGCTCTCCGAACCTCCGAGCGAAGGCTGCGGTAAGCCTCCTCATTCTCTGACGTGGGATTCTGTAGCCGATGACAGTGGGCCTGTCGCTTTTTCTCAACCATCCTGAACACCTCCTCTGTCAGCCAGGGTCTCTGGTGAGGTCTGGACCGCGTACCCAAAGCAGCCATTGCAGCTGCATGAGTCACAGTCCTAAACCTCGCCCATTTACCCTTGACATCAGGAGGAGTGGGGGACGATGCCAACCCCAGCCGCAGGCGATGATGAAATTCTCGCTTGCAACTTTCATCAGATAACTGAGACCAGGCCACCTTAGGTTGGAATGGGGTCCTGGGTGTACACCCACCACCGGAGTGGAAGAATGTCAGGTGCATCTTACAGATGACTAGTCGATGGTCAGAGGGCAGATCAGCTCCACGGTAGGTCCTGGTGTCAAGGACATGGGCTCGCATCCGCTGTTCCATCACTATGTAGTCCAGAAAATGTTCTTGCTTGGACCCGGCATGCATCCATGATGTTGTGTGGATGCGCCGATGCCGGAACAGCGTGTTGGTAATTACAAGCCCATGGGCTGCACAAAAATCTAGCAGCCTCCTACCGTTGTTATTGAGCTGATCTGGCCCATGCCCTCCAATCCATCCAGACCAGGTGCCAGTATCATGACCAACTCGGGCATTGAAGTCACCCAACATGATGACTCTATCCCGAGGGGCCACTTTAGCCAGCACCTGTGACAGGAGGTCATGGAAGGCGTCTGACTCATCGGCTTTGCCTGCATCCCTCCACGGATGTTCATCTTCGGTGGGGGCATAAGTAACCACGACCACCATTCCTCGCCACCACTTACACACACACAGACAGACACATAGACACACAGAGACACACAGAGACACACATTCACACACGCAGATACACACACAGGGTACACACAAACAGACAAACACAGGTAGACACACGTACACCGTGTACACACACACACGGGTACACACATAGTGGTGGTAAGTGGTGATGGTAGTGGTGATGGTAGTGATCGTGGCGAGTGGTGAGTAGTGATGGTGGTAATGGGGGTGATGGTGGTGAGTGTAGTGGTGAGTGTAGTGGTGAGTGTAGTGGTGAGTGTAGTGGTGAGTGTAGTAGTCAGTGTAGTGGTGAGTGTAGTGGTGAGTGTAGTGGTGAGTGTAGTAGTGAGTGTAGTGGTGAGTGTAGTGGTGAGTGTAGTGGTGAGTGGTGAGTGTAGTGGTGAGTGTAGTAGTGAGTGTAGTGGTGAGTGTAGTGGTGAGTGGTGAGTGTAGTAGTGGTTAGTTAGGGTTGAGTGGTGAGTGTAGTAGTCGGTGTAGTGGTGAGTGTAGTGGTGAGTGGTGAGTGTAGTGGTGAGTATAGTGGTGAGTGTAGTGGTGAGTGTAGTGGTGAGTGTAGAGGTGAGTGGTGAGTGTAGTAGTCAGTGTAGTGGTGAGTGTAGTGGTGAGTGTAGTGGTGAGTAGTAGTCAGTGTAGTGGTGAGTGTAGTGGTGAGTAGTGGTGAGTGTAGTGGTGAGTAGTGGTGAGTGTAGTGGTGAGTAGTGGTGAGTGTAGTGGTGAGTAGTGGTGAGTGTAGTGGTGAGTAGTGGTGAGTGTAGTGGTGAGTAGTGGTGAGTGTAGTGGTGAGTAGTGGTGAGTGTAGTGGTGAGTAGTGGTGAGTAGTGGTGAGTGTAGTGGTGAGTGTAGTGGTGAGTAGTGGTGAGTGTAGTAGTGAGTGTAGTGGTGAGTGTAGTAGTGAGTGTAGTGGTGAGTGTGGTGGTGAGTGTAGTGGTGAGTGTAGTGAGTAGTGGTGAGTGTAGTAGTGGTTAGTTAGGGTTGAGTGGTGAGTGTAGTAGTCGGTGTAGTGGTGAGTGTAGTGGTGAGTGGTGAGTGTAGTGGTGAGTGGTGAGTGTAGTGGTGAGTATAGTGGTGAGTGTAGTGGTGAGTGTAGTGGTGAGTGGTGAGTGTAGTAGTCAGTGTAGTGGTGAGTGTAGTGGTGAGTGTAGTGGTGAGTAGTAGTCAGTGTAGTGGTGAGTAGTGGTGAGCGTAGTGGTGAGTAGTGGTGAGTAGTGGTGAGTGTAGTGGTGAGTAGTGGTGAGTAGTGGTGAGTGTAGTGGTGAGTAGTGGTGAGTGTAGTGGTGAGTAGTGGTGAGTAGTGGTGAGTGTAGTGGTGAGTGTAGTGGTGAGTAGTGGTGAGTGTAGTAGTGAGTGTAGTGGTGAGTGTAGTAGTGAGTGTAGTGGTGAGTGTGGTGGTGAGTGTAGTGGTGAGTGTAGTGAGTAGTGGTGAGTGTAGTAGTGGTTAGTTAGGGTTGAGTGGTGAGTGTAGTAGTCGGTGTAGTGGTGAGTGTAGTGGTGAGTGGTGAGTGTAGTGGTGAGTGGTGAGTGTAGTGGTGAGTATAGTGGTGAGTGTAGTGGTGAGTGTAGTGGTGAGTGGTGAGTGTAGTAGTCAGTGTAGTGGTGAGTGTAGTGGTGAGTGTAGTGGTGAGTAGTAGTCAGTGTAGTGGTGAGTAGTGGTGAGCGTAGTGGTGAGCGTAGTGGTGAGTAGTGGTGAGTGTAGTGGTGAGTAGTGGTGAGTGTAGTGTTGAGTGTAGTGGTGAGTAGTGGTGAGTGTAGTGGTGAGTGTAGTGGTGAGTGTAGTAGTGAGTGTAGTGGTGAGTGTGGTGGTCAGTAGTGGTGAGTAGTGGTGAGTAGTGGTGAGTGTAGGGGTGAGTGTAGTGAGTAGTGGTGAGTGTAGTGGTGAGTGTGGTGGTGAGTGTAGTGGTGAGTAGTGGTGAGTGTAGTGGTGAGTGTAGTGGTGAGTGTAGTAGTGAGTGTAGTGGTGAGTGTGGTGGTGAGTGTAGTGGTGAGTGTAGTGAGTAGTGGTGAGTAGTGGTGAGTGTAGTGGTCAGTAGTGGTGAGTGTAGTGGTGAGTAGTGGTGAGTAGTGGTGAGTGTAGTGGTCAGTAGTAGTGAGTGTAGTGGTGAGTGTGGTGGTGAGTGTAGTGGTGAGTGTAGTGAGTAGTGGTGAGTAGTGGTGAGTGTAGTGGTCAGTAGTGGTGAGTAGTGGTGAGTAGTGGTGAGTGTAGGGGTGAGTGTAGCGAGTAGTGGTGAGTGTAGTGGTGAGTGTGGTGGTGAGTGTAGTGGTGAGTAGTGGTGAGTGTGGTGGTGAGTGTAGGGGTGAGTGTAGTGAGTAGTGGTGAGTGTAGTGGTGAGTAGTGGTGAGTAGTGGTGAGTGTACTAGTACCAGCTGCTCCACCAAGTGCTTTCCCCAGGGTGGAGTTGAGGATGTTAACAACCCCACTCCCCACTCCCAGCAACTCTTCCGTGCCCCTAACACCATCACCACCATCACCACCAACATCAACACCAACATCACCACCACCATCATCACCACCACCATCATCACCATCACTACTATCACCACCATCATCATCACCACCATCACCACCAACATCACCATCACCATCACCACCATCATCACCATCATCACCATCATCACCATCACCATCACCACCACCAACATCATCATCATCATCACCACCACCATCACCACCATCACCACCAACATCACCATCACCATCACCACCATCACCATCATCACCATCATCACCATCATCACCATCACCACCATCACCACCATAACCACCAACATCATCATCATCATCACCACCACCATCACCACCATCACCACCATCACCACCAACATCATCACCATCACCACCATCACTACCATCATTAACACCATCACCACCATCACTACCATCACCACCATCACTAACATCACCACCACCATCACCACCATCATCACCATCACCATCATCAACATCACCACCATCACCATCAACACCACTAACACCATCACCACCATCACCACCAACATCACCACCATCACCACCATCACCACCATCATTAACACCATCACCACCATCACTACCATCACCACCATCACTACCATCACCACCACCATCACCACCATCATCATCACCATCATCACCATCATCACCATCATCACCATCACCATCACCACCACCATCACCACCATCACCATCAACACCACCATCACCATCACCACCAACATCACCACCATCACCACCATCATCACCATCACTAACACCATCACCACCACTACTATCACCACCATCACCACCATCACCATCAACACCATCACCACCATCACTACCATCATTAACACCATCACCACCATCACTACCATCACCACCATCACTACCACCACCATCACCACCACTACCATCACCACCATCACCACCATCATCACCATCACCACTAACACCACTAACACCATCACCACCTTCACCACCAACATCACCACCATCACCACCATCACCACCATCATCACCATCATCACCACCATCACCATCACCACCAACATCACCACCATCACCACTAACACCATCACCAACACCATCACCAATAACACCATCACCACCACCATCACCACCACCATCACCACCACCATCACCACCACCATCACCACCACCATCACCAATAATACCATCATCACCACCACCATCACCACCACCATCACCATCATCACCACCATCACCACCATCACCACCAACACCACTAACACCATCACCACCATCACCACCAACATCACCACCATCACCACTAACACCATCACCAACACCATCACCATCACCACCACCATCACCACCACCATCACCACCACCATCACCACCATCACCACCACCATCATCACCACCACCATCACCACCACCATCACCACTAACACCATCACCACTAACACCATCACCACTAACACCATCACCACTAACACTATCACCACCATCACTTCCACCATCACCATCATCACCACCACCAACATCACCATCATCACCATCACCACCATCACCACCACCATCACTATCATCACTACTATCATCACTACCATCACCACAACCATCACCACCATCATCACCACTACCATCACCACCACCATCACCACCATCACCACCACCATCACCACCACCACCATCATCACCACCATCATCACCATCATCATCACCATCATCATCAACACCATCAACACCATCACTATCACTACCACCATCACCACCATCATCACCACCATCATCATCATCATCACCATCACCACTAACACCATCACCACCATCACTACCACCATCACCATCACCACCATCACCACCAACATCATCATCATCATCACCACCACCATCACCACCATCACCACCATCACCACCAACATCATCACCATCACCACCATCACTACCATCATTAACACCATCACCACCATCACTACCATCACCACCATCACTAACATCACCACCACCATCACCACCATCATCACCATCACCATCATCAACATCACCACCATCACCATCAACACCACTAACACCATCACCACCATCACCACCAACATCACCACCATCACCACCATCACCACCATCATTAACACCATCACCACCATCACTACCATCACCACCATCACTACCATCACCACCACCACCATCACCACCATCATCATCACCATCATCACCATCATCATCATCACCATCATCACCATCACCACTAACACCATCACCACCACCACCACCATCACCACCATCAACACCACTAACACCATCACCACCACCATCACCACCATCACCACCACCATCACCACCAACATCACCACCATCACCACCATCACCACCATCACCACTAACACCATCACCACCATCACCACCAACATCACCACCATCACCACTAACACCATCACCAACACCATCACCATCACCACCACCATCACCACCACCATCACCATCATCACCATCACCACCATCACCACCACCATCATCACCACCACCATCACCACAACCATCACCAATAATACCATCACCACCACCACCATCACCATCACCACCATCACCAGCATCACCACCAATATCATCATCATCATCACCACCACCATCACCACCATCACCACCATCACCACCAACATCATCATCATCACCACCATCACTACCATCATTAACACCATCACCACCATCACTACCATCACCACCATCACTAACATCACCACCACCATCACCACCATCATCACCATCATCACCATCACCATCACCACCATCACCACCATCACCACCAACATCACCACCATCACCACCATCATTAACACCATCACCACCATCACTACCATCACCACCATCACTACCATCACCACCACCATCACCACCATCATCATCACCATCATCACCATCACCATCATCACCATCACCACTAACACCATCACCACCACCATCACCATCACCACTAACACCATCACCACCATCACCACCATCACCACCACCACCATCATCACCACGAACACCATCATCACCATCAACACCACTAACACCATCACCACCTTCACTACCATCATTAACACCATCACCACCATCACTACCAACACCACCACCATCACCACCATCATCATCACCATCATCACCATTACCATCATCACCACCATCACCACTAACACCATCACCACCATCACCACCATCAGCACCACCAACATCACCACTAACACCATCACCACTAACACCATCACCACCATCACCACCATCACCATCAACACCACTAACACCACTAACACCACTAACACCATCACCACCATCACCCCCATCACTACCATCATTAACACCATCACCACCATCACCACCATCACCACCATCACCATCAACACCACTAACACCACTAACACCATCACCACCATCACCACCAACATCATCACCACTAACACCATCACCACCATCACCACCAACATCATCATCACCATCACCATCACCACTAACACCATCACCACCATCACCATCACCACCACCACCATCACCATCACCACGAACACCATCACCACCATCACCACCACCATCACCACTAACACCATCACCACCATCACTTCCACCATCACCATCATCACCACCACCATCATCACCATCATCACCATCACCACCATCACCACCACCATCATTATCATCACTACTATCATCACTACCATCACCACCACCATCACCACCATCACCACCACCACCATCATCACCACCATCATCACCATCATCATCACCACCATCATCATCAACACCATCAACACCATCACTATCACTACCACCATCACCACCATCATCACCACCATCATCACCATCATCATCACCATCACCACTAACACCATCACCACCATCACTACCACCATCACCATCACTATCATCACTACTATCATCACTACCATCACCACCACCATCACCACCATCACCACCATCATCACCACTACCATCACCACCACCATCACCACCATCACCACCACCATCACCACCACCACCATCACCACCATCATCATCATCACCATCATCATCACCAACATCATCATCATCATCACCATCATCATCACCATCATCACCACCATCATCAACACCATCACCACCATCACCACCATCACCATCACCACTAACACCATGACCACCATCACCACCATCATCACCATCATCAACACCATCACCACCATCATCACCACCATCACCACCATCATCACCACCATCACCACCATCATCACCACAATCATCACCACAATCATCTACACCATCACCATCATCACCATCATCACCACCATCACCACCATCATCACCACCACCACCATCACCACCATCAGCACCACCACCACCATCACCACCATCATCACCACCATCACCACCATCACCACCATCACCATCATCACCACCATCATCACCACCATCACCATCACCACCATCATCACTACCATCACCACCATCACTATCATCACCACCATCATCACCATCACCACCATCACCACCATTACAACCATCATCACCACCATCACTACCATCAATACCATCATCGACACCATCACCACCATCACCACCATCATCACCACCATCACAACCATCATCATCACCACCACCACCATCACCACCATCATCACTACTATCACCACCATCACTATCATCACCACCATCATCACCATCACCACCATCACCACCATTACAACCATCATCACCACCATCACTACCATCAATACCATCATCGACACCATCACCACCATCACCACCATCATCACCACCATCACAACCATCATCATCACCACCACCACCATCACCACTACCATTATCATCATCACCATTACCACCATCACCACCATCATCACCACCATCACGAGCATCACTAAGATCACTACCACCATCACCATTACCACCATCATCACCATCACTACCATCACCATCATCACCACCATCACTACCATCACTACCATCACCACCATCACCACCATCACCATCATCACCACCATCACCACCATTAACACCATCACCACCACCTCCACCACCACCATCACCAACACCACCCACTCACCACTCCACTCACCACCCACTCACCACCCACTCACCCACCCACTCACCACCCACTCACCACCCCCACTCACCACCCCCACTCACCACCCCCACTCACCACCCCCACTCACCACCCCCACTCACCACCCCCACTCACCACTCACCACCCACTCACCACCCACTGACCACCCACTCACTACCCACTCACCACCACACTCACTACCCACTCACCACCACACTCACCACCCACTCACCACTCACCACCCCCACTCACCACCCCACTCACCACTCACCACCCCCACTCACCACCCACTCACCACCCACTCACTCACCACCCACTCACCACCCACCCACTCACCACCCACTCACTCACCACACTCAGCACCCACACTCACCACCCACACTCACCACCCCCACACCACACACTCACCACCCGCACTCACCACCACTCACTCACTCACCACTCACTCACCACTCACTCACTACCCACACTCACCACCCACACTCACCACCCACACTCACCACCACACTCACCACCCACTCACTACCCCACCCCCCACTCACCACCACTCACTCACTCACCACTCACACACTCACCACCACACTAACCACTCACTCACCACCCGCTCACCACACCCACTCACCACCCACTCACCACCACACTCACCACCCACTCACCACCACACTCACCTCCCACTCACCACCACCCTCACCACCCTCACCACCCTCACCACCACACTCACCACCACCCACTCACCACCACACTCACCACCCACTCAGCACCCCCACACTCACTCACCACTCACTCACCACTCACTCACCACCCACTCACCTCCCACTCACCACCCACTCACCACCCTCACCACACTCACCACCACACTCACCTCCCACTCACCACCACACTCACCACCACACTAACCACTCACTCACCCCCCACTCACCACACACTCACCACCCCCACCCACTCACCACCACTCACTCACTCACTCACCTCCCACTCACCTTCCACTCACCACCACCCTCACCACCCCACCCCCCACTCACCACCCCCCACTCACCACTCACTCACCACTCACTCACCACCCCACCCCCCACTCACCACCACTCACTCACTCACCACTCACTCACCACCACACTCACCACCACACTAACCACTCACTCACCCCCCACTCACCACCCCCACTCACCACCCACTCACCACCCCACCCCCCACTCACCACCACTCACCACTCACTCACCACTCACTCACCACACTCACCACCACACTCACTACCCACACTCACCACCCACACTCACCACACACTCACTACCCACACTCACCACCACACTCACCACACACTCACTACCCACACTCACCACCCACACTCACCACACACTCACTACCCACACTCACCACCCACTCACCACCCCCACCCACATCCACTCACCACCACACTCACCCCCCCACCCCCCACTCACCACCCCACCCCCCACTCACCACCCCACCCCCCACTCACCACCACTCACTCACTCACCACTCACTCACCTCCCACTCACCACCACACTCACCACCACACTAACCACTCACTCACCCCCCACTCACCACACACTCACCACCCCCACCCACTCACCACCACTCACTCACTCACTCACCTCCCACTCACCTTCCACTCACCACCACCCTCACCACCCCACCCCCCACTCACCACCACTCACTCACCACTCACTCACCACCTCACCCCCCACTCACCACCACTCACACACTCACCACCCACTCACCACCCCCACTCACCACCCACTCACTCACCACCCCACCACACACTCACCACACTCACCACCCACTCGCCACCACACTAACCACTCACTCACCTCCCACTCACCACCACACTCATCACCACACTAACCACTCACTCACCTCCCACTCACCACCACACTCACCACCACACTAACCACTCACTCACCCCCCACTCACCACCTCACCCCCCACTCACCACCACTCACTCACTCACTCACCACTCACTCACCACTCACTCACCACACTCACCACCACACTCACTACCCACACTCACCACCCACACTCACCACACACTCACTACCCACACTCACCACCACACTCACCACACACTCACTACCCACACTCACCACCCACTCACCACCCCCACCCACATCCACTCACCACCACACTCACCACTCACTCACCACTCACTCACCACCCCCACTCACCACCACACTCACCTCCCACTCACCACCACACTCACCACCACCCACTCACCACCCACACTCACCACCCCCACACCACCCACTCACCACCACACTCACTACCCACACTCACCACCCACTCACCACCCCACCCCCCACTCACCACCCACACTCACCACCACCACTCACCACCACACTCACCACTCACTCACCACCACACTCACCACCACTCACTCACCACCACACTCACCACCCACTCACCACCCCACCCCCCACTCACCACCCACACTCACCACCACCACTCACCACCACACTCACCACCACACTCACCACCCACTCACCACCCCACCACCCTCACCACCACACTCACCACCCTCACCACTCACTCACCACTCACTCACCACCACTCACTCACCACCACCCTCACCACTCACTCACCACCCACTCACCTCCCTGTGTCACCCAGGACTCCAGTTGAGTGACATTCATCGACAAACACGAGGGCACTGTGACGCTGGGCCAACGTGCCGAGATCAGCGAGCGGGGCAACCTCGCCGTCCATGGAGAACACGCCGTCTGTGGCGATCAGCTTCAGCCGGCAGTCCTACAGATATCACAATCATCACAATCACTACAATCAGCACAATCACTATCACTACTAACACTATCACTACTAACACTATCACTACAATCACACACACACAAAACACGACGTCTGTGGCGATCAGCTTCAGCCGGCAGTCCTACAGATATCACAATCATCACAATCATCACAAGCACTATCACAATCAGCACTATCACTACTAACACTATCACTACTAACACAGTCACTACAATCACACACACACAGAACACGCCATCTGTGGCAATCAGCTTCAGCCGGTAGTCCTACAGATATCACAATCATCACAATCACTACAATCACTACTAACACTATCACTACTATCACTACTAACACAGTCACTACAATCACACACACACACAGAACACGCCGTCTGTGGCGATCAGCTTCAGCCGGCAGTCCTACAGATATCACAATTATCACAATCAGCACTATCACTACTAACACTATCACTACTAACACTATCACTACAATCACACACACACAGAACACGCCGTCTGTGGCGATCAGCTTCAGCCGGCAGTCCTACAGATATCACAATCATCACAATCACTATCACAATCACTATCACAATCACTATCACTACTAACACTATCACTACAATCACGCACACACAGAACATGCCGTCTGTGGCAATCAGCTTCAGCCGGCAGTCCTACAGATATCACAATCATCACAATCACTATCACTACTAACACTATCACTACAATCACACACACAGAACACGCCGTCTGTGGCAATCAGCTTCAGCCGGCAGTCCTACAGATATCAAAATCATCACAATCACTACAATCAGCACTATCACTACTAACACTATCACTACTAACACAGTCACTGCAATCACACACACACAGAACACGCCGTCTGTGGCGATCAGCTTCAGTCGGCAGTCCTACAGATATCACAATCATCACAATCAGCACTATCACTATCACTACAATCATTATCATCACAATCACTATCACTACTATCACTACTAACACAGTCACTACAATCACACACACACAGACCATGCCATCTGTGGCGATCAGCTTCAGCCGGCAGTCCTACAGATATCACAATCATCACAATCATCACAATCACTGCAATCATTAACACTACTAACACAGTCACTACAATCACACACACACACAGAACACACCGTCCGTGGCAATCAGCTTCAGCCGGCAGTCCTACAGATATCACAATCATCATAATCATCACAATCAGCACTATCACGACAATCACAATCACTACTAACACTATCACTACAATCACTATCACTACAATCACTACAATCACAACAATTACTACAATCACTATCACTACAATCACACACACACACAGAACACGCCGTCCGTGGCAATCAGCTTCAGTCGGCAGTCCTACAGACATCACAATCATCACAATCATCACTATCACTACTATCACTATCACTACAATCACTATCACTACAATCACGGTCACTACAATCACTATCACTACAATCACTATCACTACTATCACTACTAACACAGTCACTACAATCACACACACACAGAACACGCCGTCCGTGGTAATCAGCTTCAGTCTGCAGTCCTACAGATATCACAATCATCACAATCACTACAATCACTATCACAATCATCACTATCATCATAATCACTACAATCACTATCACTATCACTACAATCACTATTACTACAATCACTATCACTACAATCACACACACACAGAACACGCCGTCCGTGGCAATCAGCTTCAACCGGCAGTTCTACAGACATCACAATCATCACAATCACTACAATCACTATCACAATCATCACTATCATCACAATCACTACAAATCACGATCACTACAATCACTGTCACTACAATCACACACACACAGAACACACCGTCCGTGGCAATCAGCTTTAGCCGGCAGTCCTACAGACATCACAATCAGTGCTGTCACTACAATAACTACAATCACTATCACTACAATCACTGCTATCACTACAATCACTGCTATCACTACAATCACTACAATCACTATCACTACTAACACTACTATCACTACTATCACTATCACTACAATCACTACTATTACTATCACTACTAACACTACTATAAATACTATCGCTATCACTACTATCACTAATATCACTACTATCACTACTATCACTATCAATACTATCACTAACACTACTAACACTACTATCACTACAACCACTACAATCACTATCACTACAATCACTACTATCACTACTAACACTACTATCACTACTAACACTACTATCACTACTATAACTACTATCACTACTAACACTACTATCATTACTATCACTATCACTACTATCACTACTAACACTACTATCACTACTATCACTACTAACACTACTATCACTACAACCACTACAATCACTATCACTACAATCACTACTATCACTACAATCACTATCACTACTATCACTACAATCACTATCACTACTATCACTACTATCACTACAATCACTACTATCACTACTATCACTACAATCACTACAATCACTACTATCACTACAATCACTACTATCACTACTATCACTACTATCACTACAATCACTATCACTACTAACACTACTATCACTATCACTACTAACACTACTATCATTACTATCACTACTGTCACTTCTAACACTACTATCACTACTGTCACTACTATCACTACTATCACTACTAACACTACTATCACTACAACCACTACAATCACTATCACTACAATCACTACAACCACTACAATCACTATCACTACTATCACTACTATCACTACAATCACTACAATCACTATCACTACTAACACTACTAACACTACTATCACTACTGTCACTACTATCACTACTAACACTACTATCACTACTATCACTACAATCACTATCACTACAATCACTACAACCACTACAATCACTATCACTACTATCACTACAATCACTACAATCACTATCACTACTAACACTACTAACACTACTATCACTACTATCACTACTATCACTACAATCACTACTAACACTACTAACACTACTATCACTACTATCACTATCACTACTAACACTACTATCACTACAATCACTACTAACACTACTATCACTACAACCACTACAATCACTGCTATCACTACAACCACTACTAACACTACTATCACTACAACCACCACAATCACTGCTATCACTACAACCACTGCTATCACTACAATCACTACAATCACTGCTATCGCACGGTTGTTCCCTTGCTAGGAGCTCGGCGTGGCTACTCGCTAGAGCTCCTGGCATCGTACGTGGTTCTGCCGAAGCTTATGGTCCAGGTCTTCGAGGTCCAGGTGGCGGTAGCGATGTTTACGGGCTCGGCACAGGCGCAGGCCGTCGATGATGGAAGCGTGATTCAGTTCGTCTGAGAAGACAGCATCGTCTGGGCCTAGCAGGGCCTGGTGAGCAGGGTGGGTGAGTGAGTGGGTGAGTGGGTGAGTGAGGGGGTGGGTGAGTGGGTGAGTGAGTGGGTGGGTAGGTGAGGGGGTGAGTGGGTGAGTGAGTGGGTGAGGGGGTGAGGGGGTGGGTGAGTGGGTGGGTGAGTGGGTGAGTGAGTGGGTGGGTGGGTAAGGGGGTGGGTGAGTGGGTGAGTGAGTGGGTGGGTGGGTGGGTGAGGGGGTGAGTGGGTGAGTGGTGAGTGAGTGGGTGAGTGAGTGAGTGGGTGGGTGAGTGAGTGGGTGAGTGAGTGAGTGGTGAGTGGTGAGTGGTGAGTGGGTGGTGAGTGAGTGGTGAGTAAGTGGGTGAGTGGTGAGTGAGTGAGTGTGTGGTGAGTGGTGAGTGAGTGAGTGAGTGGTGAGTGAGTGGGTGGGTGAGTGAGTGGGTGAGTGAGTGAGTGAGTGGTGAGTGAGTGGTGAGTGGTGAGTGGGTGGTGAGTGAGTGGTGAGTGAGTGGGTGAGTGGTGGGTGAGTGAGTGAGTGGTGAGTGAGTGGTGAGTGAGTGAGTGACTGAGTGAGTGGTGAGTGAGTGGTGAGTGAGTGAGTGGGTGAGTGAGTGAGTGAGTGGTGAGTGAGTGGTGAGTGAGTGGGTGAGTGGTGAGTGAGTGGTGAGTGACTGAGTGACTGAGTGAGTGGTGAGTGAGTGAGTGAGTGGTGAGTGAGTGGGTGAGTGGTGAGTGAGTGATTTGGTGGGTGAGTGAGTGAGTGGGTGAGTGGTGAGTGAGTGAGTGGGTGAGTGAGTGAGTGGGTGAGTGGTGAGTGAGTGGTGAGTGGTGAGTGAGTGGGTGAGTGGTGAGTGAGTGGTGAGTGAGTGACTGAGTGAGTGGTGAGTGAGTGAGTGGTGAGTGAGTGGGTGAGTGAGTGGTGAGTGGGTGGTGAGTGGGTGGTGAGTGGGTGAGTGGTGAGTGAGTGAGTGGGTGAGTGAGTGAGTGGTGAGTGGGTGAGTGAGTGGTGAGTGAGTGGTGAGTGAGTGAGTGGGTGAGTGAGTGAGTGAGTGGTGAGTGGGTGAGTGAGTGAGTGAGTGGGTGAGTGAGTGGGTGAGTGGGTGAGTGAGTGAGTGAGTGGTGAGTGGGTGAGTGAGTGAGTGGGTGAGTGAGTGAGTGGTGAGTGAGTGGTGAGTGAGTGGTGAGTGAGTGAGTGGGTGAGTGAGTGAGTGAGTGGTGAGTGGGTGAGTGAGTGAGTGAGTGGGTGAGTGTTGAGTGAGTGGGTGGGTGGGTGAGTGAGTGGGTGAGTGAGTGGGTGAGTGGTGAGTGAGTGGGTGGTGAGTGAGTGGTGAGTGAGTGGGTGAGTGGTGAGTGAGTGAGTGAGTGGTGAGTGAGTGAGTGGTGAGTGAGTGGGTGAGTGAGTGAGTGGTGAGTGAGTGACTGAGTGTGTGGTGAGTGGTGAGTGAGTGAGTGGTGAGTGGTGAGTGAGTGGGTGGGTGGGTGAGTGAGTGGGTGAGTGAGTGGGTGAGTGGTGAGTGAGTGGTGAGTGGGTGGTGAGTGAGTGGTGAGTGAGTGGTGAGTGAGTGAGTGTGTGGTGAGTGGTGAGTGAGTGAGTGAGTGGTGAGTGGTGAGTGAGTGGGTGGGTGAGTGAGTGGTGAGTGAATGACTGAGTGAGTGAGTGGTGAGTGAGTGAGTGAGTGGGTGAGTGAATGACTGAGTGAGTGAGTGGGTGAGTGAGTGGTGAGTGAGTAAGTGAGTGGGTGAGTGAGTGAGTGAGTGGGTGAGTGAGTGAGTGAGTGGTGAGTGAGTGAGTGGGTGAGTGGGTGAGTAGGTGAGTGGTGAATGAGTGACTGGTGGGTGAGTGAGTTGGTGAGTGAATGAGTGGGTGAGTGAGTGAGTGAGTGGTGAGTGAGTGAGTGGGTGAGTGGGTGAGTAGGTGAGTGAGTGAGTGGGTGAGTGAGTGAGTGAGTGGTGAGTGAGTGACTGGTGGGTGAGTGAGTTGGTGAGTGAGTGGGTGAGTGAATGACTGGTGGGTGAGTGAGTGAGTGGTGAGTGAGTGAGTGAGTGGGTGAGTAGGTGAGTGAGTGAGTGGGTGAGTGAGTGAGTGGTGAGTGACTGGTGGGTGAGTGAGTGGGTGAGTGGGTGCGTGGTGAGTGAGTGAGTGGGTGAGTGAGTGAGTGGTGAGTGAGTGACTGGTGGGTGAGTGAGTTGGTGAGTGGGTGAGTAGGTGAGTGGGTGAGTAGGTGAGTGGGTGAGTGAGTGAGTGAGTCGTGAGTGAGTGAGTGGGTGAGTAGTGGGTGAGTGGGTGAGTGAGTGAGTGGTGAGTGAGTGAGTGGGTGAGTAGTGAGTGAGTGGGTGAGTGGGTGAGTGAGTGAGTGGTGAGTGAGTGGTGAGTGACTGGTGGGTGAGTGAGTGGGTGAGTGGTGAGTGAGTGGTGAGTGAGTGAGTGAGTGGTGAGTGAGTGAGTGGGTGAGTGAGTGAGTGGTGAGTGAATGACTGGTGGGTGAGTGAGTTGGTGAGTGGGTGAGTAGGTGAGTTGGTGAGTGGGTGAGTAGGTGAGTGGGTGAGTGAGTGAGTGGTGAGTGAGTGAGTGGGTGAGTAGTGGGTGAGTGGCGAGTGAGTGAGTGGGTGAGTAGTGAGTGAGTGGGTGAGTGGGTGAGTGAGTGAGTGAGTGGTGAGTGAGTGTTGAGTGAGTGGTGAGTGAGTGGCGAGTGAGTGGCGAGTGAGTGGTGAGTGAGTGGTGAGTGGTGAGCGGTCACCTCAAAGAGTCCAGCGTTCGCGTCAAAGCACGATGGGTAGAGGATGCAGTCCTCCTGCCCGTGGAACTCACTCAGCTGTTTCTCCAGCTGCTTGTGGATGTCCTGCAGCAGCAGCAGCAGTATCATCATCAGTAGTATCATCATCAGTAGAATCATCATCATCAGTATAATCATCAGTAGTATCATCATCAGTAGTATCATCATCAGTAGAATCATCATCATCAGTATAATCATCAGTAGTATCATCATCAGTAGAATCATCATCATCAGTAGTATCATCATCATCAGTAGAATCATCATCATCAGTAGTATCATCATCACCAGTAGTATCATCATCATCAGTAGTATCATCATGAGTAGTATCATCATCAGTAGTATCATCATCAGTAGAATCATCATCATCAGTATAATCATCAGTAGTATCATCATCAGTAGAATCATCATCAGTAGTATCATCATCAGTAGTATCATCATCACCAGTAGTATCATCATCATCAGTATCATCATCATCATCAGTAGTAGTATCATCATCAGTAGTATCATCATCATCATCAGTATCATCATCAGTAGTATCATCATCAGTAGTATCATCATCAGTAGTATCATCATCATCAGTAGAATCATCATCAGTAGTACCATCATCATCATCAGTATCATCATCATCATCATCAGTATCATCATCAGTATCATCATCATCATCAGTAGTATCATCATCAGTAGTATCATCATCAGTAGTATCATCATCAGTAGTATCATCATAAGTAGTATCATCATCATCATCATCAGTAGAATCATCATCAGTAGTACCATCATCAGTATCATCATCATTATCATCAGTATCATCATCAGTAGTATCATCATCATTAGTATCATCATCAGTAGTATCATCATCAGTAGAATCATCATCATCAGTATAATCATCAGTAGTATCATCATCAGTAGAATCATCATCAGTAGTATCATCATCAGTAGAATCATCATCAGTAGTATCATCATCACCAGTAGTATCATCATCATCAGTATCATCATCATCAGTAGTAGTATCATCATCAGTAGTATCATCATCATCATCATCAGTATCATCATCATCAGTATCATCATCAGTAGTATCATCATCAGTAGTATCATCATCAGTAGTATCATCATCAGTAGTATCATCATCATCAGTAGAATCATCATCAGTAGTACCATCATCATCATCAGTATCATCATCATCATCAGTATCATCATCAGTATCATCATCATCATCATCAGTAGTATCATCATCAGTAGTATCATCATCAGTAGTATCATCATCAGTAGTATCATCATCAGTAGTATCATCATCATCATCATCATCATCAGTAGAATCATCATCAGTAGTACCATCATCAGTATCATCATCATTATCATCAGTATCATCATCAGTAGTATCATCATCATTAGTATCATCATCAGTAGTATCATCATCAGTAGAATCATCATCATCAGTATAATCATCAGTAGTATCATCATCAGTAGAATCATCATCAGTAGAATCATCATCAGTAGTATCATCATCACCAGTAGTATCATCATCATCAGTATCATCATCATCAGTAGTAGTATCATCATCAGTAGTATCATCATCATCATCAGTATCATCATCAGTATCATCATCAGTAGTATCATCATCAGTAGTATCATCATCAGTAGTATCATCATCAGTAGTATCATCATCATCAGTAGAATCATCATCAGTAGTACCATCATCATCATCAGTATCATCATCATCATCAGTATCATCATCAGTATCATCATCATCAGTAGTATCATCATCAGTAGTATCATCATCAGTAGTATCATCATCAGTAGTATCATCATCATCATCAGTAGAATCATCATCAGTAGTACCATCATCAGTATCATCATCATTATCATCAGTATCATCATCAGTAGTATCATCATCATTAGTATCATCATCAGTACTACCATCATCAGTATCATCATCAGTAGTATCATCATCAGTAGTATCATCATCAGTAGTATCATCATCAGTAGTATCATCATCAGTAGTATCATCATCATCATCAGTAGAATCATCATCCGTAGTACCATCATCAGTATCATCATCATTATCATCAGTATCATCATCAGTAGTATCATCATCATTAGTATCATCATCAGTAGTACCATCATCAGTATCATCATCATCAGTAGTATCATCATCAGTAGTATCATCATCATCATCAGTAGTATCATCATCATCATCAGTAGTATCATCATCATCATCTCCCTCCCCCCACGTAACCCACCACCTGCCCCCCACCACCTGCCCCCCACCAGCCCCCCCCCTGCCCCCCACCACCAGCCCCCACCTGCGTCCCACAGATGAAGCGCACGGAGCTGAGTCCGGCTCCGTGCGTGAGCAGCGCCGAGCGAGCCGCCTCCACCACCTCGGGGTGGGACGACAGCCCCAGGTAGTTGTTAGCGCAGAAGTTCACCACCTCTACATACACACAGATACACACACACACATACACACATTCACACACACAGAGATACACATACACACACACACATACATTCACACACACAGAGATACACACAGACAGCCCCAGGTAGTTGTTAGCGCAGAAGTTCACCACCTCTACATACACACAGGGAGATACACATACACACACACACATACATTCACACACACAGAGATACACATACACACACACATACATTCACACACACAGAGATACACACAGACAGCCCCAGGTAGTTGTTAGCGCAGAAGTTCACCACCTCTACATACACACAGATACACACACACACACATACACACATTCACACACACAGAGATACACATACACACACACATTCATTCACACACACAGAGATACACACAGACAGCCCCAGGGAGTTGTTAGCGCAGAAGTTCACCACCTCTACATACACACAGAGAGATACACATACACACACATACACACATTCACACACACAGAGATACACACAGACAGCCCCAGGGAGTTGTTAGCGCAGAAGTTCACCACCTCTACATAGAGACACATACACACAGATACATACATTCACACACACATAGATACATACATACACACACAGGTAGTTGTTAGCGCAGAAGTTCACCACCTCTACATACACACAGATACATACACACACACATACATACATTCACACACACAGAGATACACACACATACACACACAGATACACACAGACAGCCCCAGGTAGTTGTTAGCGCAGAAATTCACCACCTCTACATAGAGACACAGAGAGAGAGATACACATACACACATACACACACACAGGTAGTTGTTAGCGCAGAAGTTCACCACCTCTACATAGAGACACATACACACATACATACACACACAGGTAGTTGTTAGCGCAGAAGTTCACCACCTCTACATACATACACACACATACACACATACACACACAGGTAGTTGTTAGCGCAGAAGTTCACCACCTCTACACATACACAGAGAGAGAGATACACATACACAGATACACATACACAGATACACACACACATACACACAGACAGCCCCAGGTAGTTGTTAGCGCAGAAGTTCACCACCTCTACACACACACAGATACACACATACACAGGGAGATACACACAGATATACATACACACAGATATACATACACACAGATATACATACACACACATACATACATTCACACACACAGAGATACACACACAGATACACACAGACAGCCCCAGGTAGTTGTTAGCGCAGAAGTTCACCACCTCTACATACACACAGAGAGATACACATACACACACATACACACATTCACACACACAGAGATACACACAGACAGCCCCAGGGAGTTGTTAGCGCAGAAGTTCACCACCTCTACATAGAGACACATACACACAGATACATACATTCACACACACATAGATACATACATACACACACAGGTAGTTGTTAGCGCAGAAGTTCACCACCTCTACATACACACAGATACACACACATACACACACATACATTCACACACACAGAGATACACACACAGATACACACAGACAGCCCCAGGTAGTTGTTAGCGCAGAAGTTCACCACCTCTACATACACACAGATACACATACACACACACATACATTCACACACACAGAGATACACACAGACAGCCCCAGGGAGTTGTTAGCGCAGAAGTTCACCACCTCTACATATAGAGACACATACATACAGAGATACACACACAGATACACAGGTAGTTGTTAGCGCAGAAGTTCACCACCTCTACACACACACACAGATACACATACACACACACATACATTCACACACACAGAGATACACACAGACAGCCCCAGGGAGTTGTTAGCGCAGAAGTTCACCACCTCTACATATAGAGACACATACATACAGAGATACACATACAGATACACAGGTAGTTGTTAGCGCAGAAGTTCACCACCTCTACACACACACACAGATACACACATACACACACATTCACACACAGAGAGATACACACAGATACACATACACACACACACATATACACATACACACATACACACACAGATACACACACAGATACACAGGTAGTTGTTAGCGCAGAAGTTCACCACCTCTACACACACACACAGATACACACACAGATACACATACACACATACACAGGTAGTTGTTAGCGCAGAAGTTCACCACCTCTACACACACATACATACACACACACAGGTAGTTGTTAGCACAGAAGTTCACCACCTCTACATACAGAGAGAGATACACACACAGAGATACACACACATACACACACATACATATACACACATACACACACACATACACACAGGTAGTTGTTAGCGCAGAAGTTCACCACCTCTACACATACAGATACACACAGATACACACACATACACACACACAGATACACAGGTAGTTGTTAGCGCAGAAGTTCACCACCTCTACACATACACACAGACACACATACAAGCACACACAGACACACACACAGACACACAACAACAACAACCGCCATTCGCCACTAAGTGGCGGTGACGTCACCACGACGCTTGTGCCAGGCTATGTGCACCGTGAGGCCACGTGAAGTGTCGAACGCCCGCTGGCAGGAGGTCACTAGACAGACCCAGGTGCCACGGGTCGACTGACTGAGATGACTGGCTGATGCACCACCTGTGCCCCCTACTGTGCCAACCTGCTGTGCTTTAGCCACCCGGCGCTCCGCACGTTGTTCTGAGCGTCGCTCCTCCGCCCTCCGTTGTTGTTGGAGGGCGACTGCCTCCAACTGCCCAGTAGCATCCTTCACGAGCCTCCTCCACAGAGGCCGATCTTGACACCGCTGGTACCAGTCATCGGCAAGTCCACTCAGCTCCACGTCCTCCTGTACCACATCACTCCATCTCTTCTCTAGCCCGTTCCGCGCCCGCTTAGCCCCCTCAATCCGGCCAAACAAAAGCTGTTTCGGCATGCGGTGGCTGGGCATGCGGGCTACATGACCCAGCCATCGCAGCCTTGCCTGCCGGAGGAGCTCACCGATGGGACCCCGCCCAGATCTTTCAAGGAATTGCGAGCTCCTCACACAATCCAGTCTGGTTAAACCCAGGATGGATCGTAGGCAGGCCAGCCTAAATGTTTCTAACCGGCAAAGATGTTCCATTAGGGGGGTCCACGTTTCGCAAGCGTAGAGAAGGGAGGGAATGACCGTGGCCGAGAAGACCTGAAGCTTAGTGCGGAGCGACAGACCAGGTAGCTTCCACACAGCGTTACGCAACCGATGAAAAGATATTGCCGCTCGACTGATTCGGAGTGAGACCTCTGCTGTTAAACTGGAGCCAGTCATAAGCACACTACCCAGGTATGGGAAACTCTCCACTCTCTCCACAACTGCCCCATCACCGATTGGGAGTTGTGGGGGTGGAGTGTCCGATGGTACAAAATACCCAGGCAGGTGCTTAGTTTTGGTGGGGCTGATGGTAAGGCCCCACCTCTTAGTGGCACGCTCCAGTCTCAGCAGCAGCGTCTCCAACTCCTCCTCTGACTGAGCAGCTATTACCAAATCATCAGCATACATAACGTGGTTGAGCAATAGGGAGCCATCCCTTGACCGCACCCGGGCATCGATTAGCCTCCCATTATATCTGTACCATATGGAGATTCCCCCGGTACAGCTATTGAAGACTTCACAAACTACGTGGTCAAAATAGATGTTAAATAATGTGGGAGCCAGAGGACATCCCTGTCGCACCCCAAGGTGTACAGGGAATGGCTCTGACTCCCGGCCACGTAGTTTTACCCGGGCCCGCTCACCATCATGAAGGTCCTTAATGATCGTGAGCAGAGGGTCAGGTACTCCAAAAGCACGAAGAACGACCCAGAGCCCAGGCCTACTGATGGTATCATAGGCCTTGACCAGGTCAATAAAGCAGAGATGTAGGTCTTGTTGGAATTCCCTACACCTCTGCTGTAGCAGACGGACAGAAAATATGGCATCTGTGCAGGACCGCCCTTTCCTGAAACCGCATTGGGGCTCCGCAAGCCTCTCCTCAGCGTGCCTGGCAAGGCGATGCTGAATAATCCTTGCCAGGACCTTTCCCGGCACACTGAGGAGTGAGATGCCCCTGTAGTTGTTACAGTCTGTGCGGTCCCCCTTCTTAAAAAGGGGGACCACCAGGGCATCCTTCCAATCCTGCGGAACCCGTCCAGTGGTCCAGACTGTTGTTATGATGTCATATAGGGCAGTCTGTGCACAAACGCCACCCTCCCTCAGCATTTCACTTGGGAGATCATCTCTGCCCGCTGCCTTTCCTGGTCTCAGACTCCGGATCGCCTTCAATACTTCCTCAGCAGATGGCACCTCAGCCAGCCACTCACAGGGGGTGACTTCTTCCAATATTTGAGGCACCGCAGCCTCAGCAGGGTCATCCTCACTTTGTACCACGATGTTTTCCTGGCTGAGGGATTTTCCCTCCCCCAGGACCTCACAGAAATGCTCAGCAAATCTGCGAACCTGTTCCTGGGGGTCGGAGATTGGTTCACCGTTTTTTCCCCTAATGATGGTAATAGGTGTGGCGCTGCAGGTTACTTTTTTGATGGAGTTAAATAGAGATTTGTGATCACGGGCCACTGAGGCAGACTCCATCTCCTCAGTAACCCGCGACCACCACCCATCCTTGCAGCGCCTCACGGCTCTCCAAACCTCCGAGCGAAGGCTGCGGTAAGCCTCCTCATTCTCTGACGTGGGATTCTGTAGCCGATGACAGTGGGCCTGTCGCTTTTTCTCAACCATCCTGAACACCTCCTCTGTCAGCCAGGGTCTCTGGGGAGGTCTGGACCGCGTACCCAAAGCAGCCATTGCAGCTGCATGAGTCACAGTCCTAAACCTCGCCCATTTACCCTCGACATCAGGAGGAGTCGGGGACGATGCCAATCCCAGCCGCAAGCGATGATGAAATTCTTGCTTGCAACTTTCATCAGATAACTGAGACCAGGCCACTTTATGTTGGAATGGGGTCCTGGG